CAGGCTGCCCAGGGAGGCTGTGGAGTCTCCTTCTCTGGAGATATTCCAGACCCGCCTGGCCGTGGTGCTGTGCAGCCTGCTCTGGGTGACCCTGCTTGGGCAGGGGGTTGGGCTGGGTGACCCACAGAGGTCCCTGCCCACCCCTGCCATGCTGAGATTCTGTGAAAAGACACATCCCAGGGGACACACTGGAGTACTATACTCCCCTACAGCTTTACTACTATACTGCACAACTATTAACTTCCACTGACACTGCCAGAGAGCGGACACTGGCCCCAGCTCCTGCGTAAAAACTCATCCAAGTCAGCACCTTTGCACAAGTCCCCATCCCTGGAGGTCTTCCAAAAGCATGCAGATATGGGACTCCAGGACATGGTCTAGCAGGCATGGTGGTGTTGGGGTGACGGTTGGACTTCATGGTCTTAGAGGTCTTTTCCAACCTTAATGATTCTACAAAAGCAGTTTGGCATCAGTGAAGCAGCTTCTTTCCCCTCCAAAAATGGAAACCTCTCCACCCAGCCCCTGTGACTGCCCATGGAAGAGCTGCGAGAGGAGATCTTGGAAGGGCTCTGGCGGGAGGACTGAATGAATCCATCGGTTTTCTCATTTTCTAAGGAAAAAATATTGCATATCATTTACTCCACGGAAATCCTTAGCCCTTTGAGTGAAACGCAAAAAGCCCACTGGAGAGCAGGCTATAAAAACACATCTGTTTCCTGCAAAGGTGAAAGAAAACCCCAATTAAGCAAATTTCGAAAAACCAGCGGCGGCAAAAGGAGTTTGCAAAGAGGCAGCAGGAGCGAGCTGCCCGCCGAGCACCCGAGAGCTGGCGGCGGGTTGTACGCTCAGTTAACCCAGAATCCTGGCCCTAAAAATAGCACTGGAAGGGAAAAAGGATGCATTATTTATGCCGTTCAGCGAGGAAGGAGAAGGAATGAAGAAAGGCAGGAGGAGACCCAAGCCCACCGGAGCCAGCACCCCCCCTCGCCTCCGGGGCTGCCACCCACTCCCACGGCAGCCATCTGACAACGCAGCTAACACGCCACGCTGTAAAAAACACCCGACGTTTAAAAGACATTTTTCCACACGTCCGATGACAGCTTCAGATCTACAACAGCTCGGCTGCCAGCACCTCCGAGCCGCTCATAAACAATATAGGAGCTCCCCTCCACCTCGGGTGCCTCTGCGGTTGGTCTCCAGCCGCTCGCAGGACGCCCGGCATCCCATGGAAACACCGCAGCGTTACTGGACCTGGGCGCTCGACAAACAAACAGCAGCAAAAATAAAGCATCGTGGCAGATACAACCTATTACAGATCCTAAAATGCCCCGTTGGAACCTCGCTGCGGCCAACAGGAGCATCTCGAAGCCCTTCACCAGCCACCGAGCCAAGCCCAAAGTGGGGACACGGTTCCATGACTCAGCGTATGTTCTCCCACCACAGCCACGTTTCTCCCACCACAGCCACGTTTCTCCCACCACAGCCACGTTATTACAACATCTCGTTTAGGTGGAAGACGTTGGCCATGATAAAACCCACTGGAGAACTTCCCGCTCCTCCTCACGCAGGGGCTGATCTCCCTGGGCTGGAGAGCACCCAGGGCTGCCGACGCGGAGGTGCTTCCTGATGGTAATTAATGAACCTGCAGCCCATCTCCAGCGAGAAGAGAGGAAAGCTGGGCTGGAGCCAGGCAGCCGGCGGAGCCAGCAGTCAGGAGGAATCGCCACGCTCGCAGCTACGGCGTCACCAGACGGGCGAGCTTGCAAGTTCCTCCAGGCTTCATCGCCTGAAGTTTTGGCAGCGACATGACCACGAGCTCTCTAAATAGAGCAATTCTGGTTCTCATCCTTCTGTTGAAAAAAATAACATCCTCAGACCATGGCGAGGTGCTTCAACGCCTTCCCACTCTGCCCTTAACAGGGAAGCTATCTGTGAGCCGAACTCCCAGCTCCGGCGTTGTTCCCGGGAGGTGCGGTTGTCTCTCCCTGCCCCTGAGCATCCGCTTACTGCTTTGCAGATGATCCATAGGCGACTTCTTCCTACAGAACAAGTCAGCTGCTAGAGCCATCACCCGCCCTCGGTGCCTTCCCAAGCTCCACTGCTGACACACGGAGGTCCTGGGGACTTCAAGCAAGCTGCATCAGCCCATAAAAACCCAGCCAGCAATGAGCAGTATTCCAGTAAAAACCTGGAAACTTGCTGTTCCCCAAACAGTTCTTATTGAAATGCAATGAATCACACCGTGGTTGCTGCCAGCCCACGTCCCCACCACATGCGACGCGGGGTCCCCAAGAAGAGCCCCCATCAGCGAAGAACCCACAACCTCCAGCTGCCATCGCAGCACACTGCTCCCGCCTCGCCGGGGGAAATATTTTGGGGGCAAAACCTTCGTTTTCCCTGGCAGCAAAGCACATGTATGAGCCCGTATCTTCTGCAATACCCCTCCCTGCGCTGCAAGAGCTCTGCTCCAAGAGAAGCAGCTTCCAGTTGGAAATCTGCAAGCCCAAACAAACTTATTATAGAAACTAGAACAAATGGCACAATCAAAGCCAAAAAAAATAAAAAAATAAAAGGAAAAAAGCCTTTGCATTTCAAGAGATTCATTATTTAGCTGCAAAATCTCTCCCAGTCTCTCATTTAGCAGAAGCGGCTCCTTAAGAGGTTTTTTTTTAAACCAGTGGAAGACCCCCCCCAGCCAGTACACACACCTGTGGCACCAGTTTCAAAGGAAGCACATTTCCCTCATTAAAACATCTATTCAAGCCGGAGAAAGTGGGCTTTTTCCCCACCTCCAACTCAAACACTGCCATGACAGGACTGTATAAAAAGCTAAATTTTAAGTCCTGGCATGAACCTGGCAGAAAGAGGGCAGGACTTGGGAGAGGGGGTAGGGCACAGAGCCCCACGGGCTGGGAAGCTCCCAGTTTAGGTGATAACCAGGAATAAAAAGCCCAGTTTATTCCCTCCAGCCCCACCCAGCACCATGCTACAGGCGTGCCCGAGCCCCACGCACGGGCTGTTCTCCCACCGCTAACCGCAGGGATGCCCTGCTCTTGCCCAGGTTAACAGCCAGCAACAAGCTTACCGCCTTCCCAAAAGCTTTTCTCTCCCTCCACCCTGGATACCGTTTGTTTCTCATTTTTACTGCACATAAAATCGCCATCCAGTTCCTTGCTCCCCCTCGCACGTCGCCGGGGCTACAGCGACGTCTTCCTCGCCATTCCGCACGCTTCAAAGCGCCCACCCCTCCGGCCTCCGCACGACTAACTTCAAAGCACAGGAGATCTGCTTCCAATTGTTAAAACTGGGAGAAAAAACCTCGAGAGGAGTGATTGAAGGTGGTGGCAGGGAGCTGGCGAAGCCCGGCACGCGGGAGCATCGCCGCTCCCGGAGACAGCCCCGTGGAGAGGGAGAGCATCCGTCACCTGCCGGGGAAATACGGATTCATCACTGATGGGAGCAAGATCCAAGAACTGGGTGATGCACTATATCCGAAATGCTGAAGATAACAGCAATAAAACAGGCCCCTGATCATCTAACATCTGCCTGGCCCCAGAAATCTGGTTTGGAGGAGAAAGGCGAGCGGCCGCGGGGCAGTAAGGGCTGGTGGGAGACCTCCCCGGCCGCCTCCCACCCGCACCCAGGAGCCCCGGCGCAGGCAGGGGACGGGCTCGCGCATGGGTGAAGAACCACGAGCATCTCCCAGGGTTTCAGGCAGGCAGAGGGGTCCCACCACAACACCTTTCCCGGGAGAAGGGACCACCTCAGGGCTGAACCCTGGATACGATGGAAACTCGCGGTGCGATGGCATCAGCGTTTTCTCTTGCGCCAGGACCACAGCAATCGACGGTTGGACTCGATGACCTTCGAGGTCTTTTCCAACCTTCATGATTCTACGAATCCAGCAAGGGACAGAGTTGGTGGCACTAAGGGCGGATGCTCTCGGGAAACAAGACTCAACAGCGGGGCTGGCACGCAAGAGTTTGTCATGTTTAAATATTCATCGCCACTCCGCAGAAATAAATGGCTAAAGATGTGCCAAATGGGTTTTAAACCACGTCGGGGAGGACATTTAACGCAGCAGACAACGAACCGCTGCGCTGGGGTGGGAGAAGGACCTGACCCGGGAGCACGGACCCGATCCAGGGCACCACGAGCCGGGTGCTGCGCAGCCCCACGTGGGAACTGGCGGGGAGGGGCTCGGCCAGCACCTCCATGGCAAAAGAGAAATTAAAGTAAATCGCAAAGGAGGTCACAAACTGCCTCCAGAATTAAGCACTGACTCTGCTCCGTGGGGAAATCATGTGCCTTGAAGGGCTGAATATTAAATTAAAGCTAATTTTAATAGAATGAAAGAGACAAGAAAAGAAGCCAAGCTACAGATTAAAAAAAACGTAATTAAAATCAGGATGAGGAATTAGAAGCAATTTTCTTCCCTTACAAACAGACAGGTAACTAAAGGTAAAGCATCGTT